ATATATATATATAAATATACACTTGCTATAAATACCTTAGTCAGTACCAGGAAATGTATTTGTAGCTCCATTCTTTTGATTTGTTTTTCCTACTCGCATCATATATTTAAGCTCTTCTAAAAATACCAATATAAGTGAACATTTGTGTTTGTTCTTTTGCCATGGTTACATTGTTACATGCTTACTTGCCTCATTATAAAAGAAGGTAAATGATAGATAAATTAGAAAGAGCACATCCATTTATAAGCATATTTAGAGGCATTTATAGCACACTAGTCTCTGAGGAATCCTGTCACCTAATGAGCCGTTAATGAATGGGTTTTGTCTCTGAGAAACTGAGTTGGATGTGAGAGCTGAGCTCTCAGGAGACACCAGACAATGCTAACTCCTCTCCCCTGTCGCCCAGGTGTTTGTGAACTGCAGCGGCAAACACAGTGATTCAGCACACCCGTTCGGCTACCTGAAAGCCAGCACTACGCTCACCTGTGTCAACCTCTTCGTCATGCCTTACAACTATCCCGTCCTGTTGCCACTCCTCGGTACGTGTGTTTCCTCACAATACATTTCCAACCTTATCCTATAAATTACCTTATTTATTGAATTGCAATTTTTTTTTCTATAGCACATTTCATACACAATGGTGCTTTGTTTAGCCATGATAAATAAAAATAAAATATATGTAAAACTCATTTTAATAATAATTTAAGAACAAGGAGTAAAAATAATAATTAATAAATAATGTAACTTAGAAAAAAAACCTTAAAAAAAAAAAAAAAGAAATTAATACTTTTATTCAGCAAGGGTGTGTTAAATTGATAAAAAGTGATATTAAAGGCTTGTTAGAAAAGATTTCTATTTTGAATAAATGCTGTTTTCTTTTTTAACTTTTTGTTCATCAAAGAATCCTGAAAAATGTATCACAGGTTCCAAAAAAATATTAGTGAAAATTCACGTTTGCATCAGAGACATAAATTGTATTTTAAATGTATTTTAAATTGTAATAATATTTCACAATATTGCTGTTTTTTTCTGAATTTTTTGATCAAATAATTCCAGCCTTGATGAGCAGAAGAGACTTCTTAAAAAAAAGTAGAATCTTACTTATCCCTAATTTTCTACGGCATATACACACACAAACACAAAAGAATAGAATGAATAATAATGAAAAAGAATTACATTTGGAATAAAAAAAAAAAATTTTGAAAAAAAATAATTTTATATAATCCAGTACTTTTATACTTTTTTGTACATTGCTGCATAAATTGTGTACATGTTTTGTACATCTTTAATTTCCTTCTTCTCGAGAATGACTTAATTTAGTCCTTCAGCACACTTACCATCTCTTATTCTCCTTACAGATGATTTGTTTAAAGTGCACAAGCTAAAGCCAAACCTCAAGTGGCGGCAGGCCTTTGAAATGTATATGAAGTCCATGCCTCCTTACTTTCTCTTGGTAAGACACTCTTCGTTCCTACTTTAAAAAAAGACATCCCAATAGAGCACAGAGGTGTCCTGCCTACAAAAAAAGACAACTTCTTTGTGCATATAAATTAATGCAATATACAATTCATGGGCTGTTAGATGCACTCAAGGGTCACTTGTAATATGAGCTGTATTTGTTCTATAGTCTGTTAACAGCTGTAATGAGGTCAAGGATATGTGCTCTGAGTGCAGATTCACCCTGAGTGTGTCCTCATTTTCACTTCCTTTGTCTCTGCTTCTCCACTCTTCCTCTCTTTTTTCTGACTGCAGCCTCTCAAGAAGGCGCTGAGGATGATGGGAGCCCCAAATCTCATCTCTGACAACATGGATTGTGGCTTGAGCTACAGTGTCATTTCCTACCTAAAAAAACTCAGCCAGCAGGTGAGCATTCTTTCCTGCTGACAGTTAAACCTACGCAGTTTTTGCAAGTTAAAATAGTATTCAAACTCATAACTTTCCTTTAAATGTTCTATATTACATATTAACATATTGTATTCATTCAGTATTAATCCTATCTGTTTGAGGCCTGAGTGATGCAGAATTTTAAATCAATTTGTACTTGATTTTCTAGGCAAAGATTGAGTCAGACCGTCTGATTGTGTCTGTCGGGAAGAAGCCTCCTCAAGAGACGGGCATCAAGGTTAAGAACCACTCAAGTGCCCTGTCTCTGGCACACCGCCGCGATTTCAAGCAGCTCCTGCAGGGCATCACAGGCGAGGTACCCCTCCGACTCATCGACATGAACTTCAAAGAGTTCGCTGGTTTCCAGATTGCACTTCTCAACAAGGTACAGACAGTTTGAGTGGGGCTGAATTACATTACAGGGTCTATTTGAAATCAATCATGTCTCAGTTCACGTTTGGGGGACAGAATGTAGTTATGCTAATATAGACATTTGTATCTTTTTCTTGCTGATGCAGGTTAATTCTGATGAATTCTTCTGACTAGACATCTAAGTCTGACTGACTTAAAAATATGCGATTTTCTTGAAGTTAGGTAAAAATGTAGCTTCTATAATCATTTGCTCACCTTCTCTTCAAGGATTTGAAGCCCCAGGCCTATAGGAACGCTTATGATATTCCACGACGGAACCTTCTAGATCAAGTGACTCGGATGCGTTCCAATCTTTTAAGGACAACACAGAAGCTAATCAGAGGCCAGGATGATGGTAATTGTACCAAAGACAAAAATTACATTCTGCAAAGTGAACCTTCATAATCTGCCAATCATGACTTAAGGTGCGGCCACATTAGTGAAATTTTGGCAAATTCTCACAGCCAAAAAAAAGCTTTTCCAGAAAAACGAGAATTCAGCTTAAATTTTCGTTTTTCGTTCAGGGTGAGAAAAATGAATAAACAGCTTGAATATTCGATTTCTACACGTGGGCGGGAATTAAACACCCCTTTCTGCTGATTTGTTTTTCATTTTGTTTCATTCCATTTCGCTTTGTTTTCACAATATTGTCTATGGTAGTTGTTTGTTTTGTTTTTTCTTTTCGTTTTGTTTCATTTTGTTTACTGTGGTGGATATTAACAATGATCAGATGCATTTAGCATAGCAACAAGAGAAACTGTTTTCTTTTCACTAGATGTACATTTATAATGTTGACATGTAATCCAAAAAAGTTCAAAAATAGACAGCTGATATTTGTTTAGTATTGAATATTTTTCCATGATTCTGTAGACTCCTTGCACAGTATTCCAGTGGGGCAGATGGGAAATTATCAGGAGTATCTGAAGATGATGCCATCACCTCTGCGTGAGATTGATCCAGACCAGCCCAAACGACTGCACACATTTGGCAACCCATTCAAGCAGGACAAGAAGGTACTTGCATGTCAAACCTATGGACAGTGCTTGGTATATTATTTTGGCATTAAATTTCAGAAAGCTAGTTGCTGTTGAGTGGGTGTTTCTAATACAACAGCTGAGGGATTGTTGGCAAATTTCACATCTTTCTCTCTTCTGACCACCGTAATCAAGCTCTTGATTTTTTTTGTCTTTTGGAAAGTCATAGAAATTATATCATGAATGTTTTCTTTTGATGTAAGAGCAAATGGGAATGATTTTCCATTTTGATTCACCACTATAAAAGTTCACCCAACTATGATGACTTTTGCTTCTGAGAACCCCAGAAATGTGAAAAGGGTCCTCTGATAATAAACATTACAGGTAAAAACTGAAGTGCCTTAGATGCTAAGTTGCTTTGTTTTCTTTCTTCCTCTTCTCCCAACAACAGGGAATGATGATCGATGAAGCAGATGAGTTTGTGACAGGCCCACAAAATAAAAAGCGGGGTAACACTGGGGATCTTAACTCAGGCACCGCCCTGAAGAGGAGGAGGAGTATGTCCCCTCTGCTGCGCCGGCCCCAAACTCCTCCAATAATAACCAATCATGTCCTCAGCAAGGGCCCCACTGGGACTCAGGGCCAGCAAGGAATCATTAAACCCATCCTACTACACAAAGGTAAAGTCCTCTGAGTCACAGCTGACTGATTCAAAACTTGCTGTGTACTAAATACTTACACACCGCATACTGCCTCCTATTTTTTTTTTATTGTAAGAGGAACAGTAGCCACTATTCCATGCTTTCAAACAGTAGTATGCTACATTGTTGTCACAGGACCTCATCAAATTGCATGTTCGTAGCATCCAGTTATCTTCTTTCAAATAAAATGTTAGGTTATACTTTATTTGAAGGTGTCCTTGTTACAGTGTAATTATGCAATTAAGTTCAGTGTAATATTAATTAACAACATATACTTAATATAGGGTTAGGATTAGCATTTGGTTTAGGGTTAGTTGCATGTAATTATGCATAATTTACTGTTATTTCTATAATAAGTATGTCATGTGTAAAAATGGCACTGTTTTCAGTCTCATTAAATAATTAGTAAAAAAAAAAACAAGACATTGCAGTTTTAAACACTACATTGCAGTTTGTGTTTAAATGTTTATAAACATTGTCATATTACAATTTAAAATAACTGTTTTATATATATATATATTATTGCTGTCAAACGATTAATCTCGATTAATCGCATCCAAAATAAAAGTTTTTGTTTGCATAATATGTTTGAACATATAGGTGTGTTCTGTGTATATTTATTATGTATATATAAATACTCACACATGTATGTATATATTTCAGAAAAAATATGTATTTTATATATTAAATATATATATATTATATATTAAATATATTTATTAATAATATAAATTATATGAATATAAATATGTAAATACATATAAATATTTTCTAAATATATACTATATGTGTGTATTTATATATACATTATAAATATACACTGAACATTATATATAATTTGTTTTTATTCCTGTGATACACAGCTGAATTTTCAGCATCATTGCTCCAGTCATCAGTGTCACATGATCCTTCAGAAATCAGTCTAATATGCTGATTTGATGCTCAAGAAAAGTTTCTTCTTAATATCAGTGCTGTGTAATATTTTTGTGGGAACCATATTACATTCTTAGGATTCTTTGATGAATATAAAATTCAAAAGATCAGCATTTATTTGAAATAGAAATCCCTTGTATCATTATAAATGTCTTTACTGTCACTTTTGATCAATTTAATGCATTCTTCCTGAATGAAATTATTCATTTCTTTCAAAAAAAATCTTAGCGTGGTAGCGTATGAGCTATGTACTGCAGAAATCATATGAGTAGTTACTATGCTATTGCAAACATTGAGTGTATTAAAAAACTTACCATCATTATAAGTAATAATATGCTGTCATATATTTTCCCCTACAGGATCTGAAGGAAACAGTGTAGGAGGCACAGAAAGCAATGGGGAGCGAGCGCCAGGCGGGGAGGCTGGAGACGGGTGGCCTGGAGGAGTGGATGGAGAGGGAGGAGCACCTGCACCTGTGGAGGACACAGGAGAGGTGGGGACACCAGACGGCGAGGAGGAGAGAATAGGACTGGAGAACTGTCTGGATGAGAGACCCTCAGATCTCACACAAAACTGTGAGGACCTGAGTCCCCTGAGCCAGGAGGGGGCGGTGGAGGGCAATGGAGGAGACACTCCGACGCCGGGCACAATTGTTATGATTCCCCTTGAGGGGAGTAACGCGGAGCTGCGCACTCGAGTCCTCAAAGAAGTCCGCAAGCCTGGCCGCAGTGAGTATCTTGATATAATACCAAATTAATTATTCATGCCCATTCATTTCTGTATTCTCTTTGAATTATTCTCTAGCTTAAATCGAGTGCACTTGGAATTATTTGTAGGAATTAATAAAACTAAACTGAATGGCTAATTCTTTTGTGCAGATTATGAGACAATATTCAGGTTACTGGAGGAGGTGAAGGGGCCAGTGACAGTGCAGAGGTACTTTATTCATCATGCCATCAAAGAGGCAGCCAGGTGAGAGCTCTCTTCAAACACTCACAGGCCTCTCATGCTTCTCTCTCCAGTAACACCACAGAGAATAAATATCAGCATGTACTGACTGTACAAATAAACGGGTTTCTTAAATACTCCCCCAGCCACTGGTCAAGCAAACAGACAAACAGTTCATTCCCCCACAGGTCTCTAATGAGTATATTTCTTCATGTCCCCTGCATTGTTGTTTTAGTATTATTTATATAATATTAAAGTAATTAATACTATTTTGAATCATTTTTCATATTTTCAGTTTTAATTTTAGTAACTGTGTGTTATGTGCTACTTTTTATTTAGTTTCTATTTAGTTTTATTTCACTTTTTATTTCAGTCATTTTAGTACTTCAACTTATTTGATTTAAGTTAGTTGTCAAGTTAGCATTTCTAATTTTCATTTAAGTTTAAAGAGATATTTCACCAAAATGAAAACTCTGTCATCGTTTACTCGCCCTCATGTCCTTCCAAACCCATAAGATTTAATTATTGAAACACAAATTAAGATATTTTCATTAAGATCCTCCGTTGAAAGACCAGGTATCCAAAACGTAGAAGATCCAAAAAGGTAATAAAGGTGTTTAAAACATATCCATATGAATCATGTGGTTTAATCCAAGTCTTGTGGAAAGATACGATCACTTTAAATGATGAACAGATTTAATTTAGTCTTCAGAGTGAGTAAATGACAGAATTTTTAGGTGAACTATCCCTTTAAGTTTCGCACCTAATATTTATATTTCATTTTATTTCAGCTTTATTTCAACTAATGTTTTAGTTTTTTAGTTTTAATTAACAGTAACAACACTGGTCACCTATTTCTTGCATGTTCATTTATTTGTCTATCTTTACTATAGTTCAGTTATAATTATTAGAATTTATAATTATCATTTTGAAACATGTAGAGAAACAGATGGCTCAGGTTGGACCCATATCAGGTCACTTTCCCCCTCGCTCCCCTACTTTTGCATCAAAAAAATCAACCCCAAAAAATTAAATACATTTTGAAAGATTAATGTGCATCATAAAATTGCACAGGATTCTCTCCATAGTTAATGCAGAATCTCACTAAGACAACTTTGTCTTATAAAAGTACCAAAATATTTTAAAAATAAATTTACTTTAGAAGCAAACTTGCATAAGTATTTTTAAGCATAAAATAAGTGAAAAAATTCTTTATCATGCTTCAAAGAAGAAAAATTGTCAATACAGAAAGAAAAAAAATGTTTAAGAAATTCTCTGAAAGCAGGTAACAATATGGAATTTAGCTTTCTTAAAGTAAATTGTTAGTATGTAAAGTATATTTATGCTATTATAAATAATATAGGCCCAGTTTCACAAACGGGGCTTAGCTTAAGCCAGGACTAGGCCTTAAATTTTAAATTTAGCAAAAATGCCTTAGAAGAAAACATTACAGGTGTGCATCTTGACACAGAACAATGGCACTGACATGTTTTAAGATATGTCAGAGCAAGATATTTTCAATTGAGACGGCTCAAACAAGCATTTTAGTCTGGGACTAGCTTAAGCCTTGTCTGTGAAACCGGGGGATAATGTCATATAATCCAGCTAAATAGCAGTCTCTCTCTCAGGTTTAAGAAGCGTATGCTGATCCAGCAGCTGGAGAGCGCTCTGGAGGAGACTGAAGACCGACAGATGCTGCCCACACAACTCAACAACGTCCACAGCAGATAGTGGGACATCACATCTCACCGCTGAGACACACACGAGACGACAGAGAAGCGGCAGCGCAGGCCGACCCATCAGCCTCAGTACTGTGCTTTAGGAGGAGACGTAGCGAGGGAGAGAGTAAATTAGAGAGGACGGAGGCCTGTCTGGCTCACGCTCCGGTCCAGGCGCTTCCAGTTACTGAATTGTGTCACTACTCTGAAAGAGTGCTCACAATGGAGCAATTGAACGTTCCAGGTTTGATGAATTATTCTGTCAATTTGCAGGCTTTCCGGGCCTGAAAGTGGCCATAATTTAACCATAAGATAATGAATAAGCACACTCCAGAAAAGCCAAGCCTCATCCACTGTGTGATTTTACAGGGTCATCCGAGGCAGAGGTCAGCGTCTGTCACGTGAAGTATGTTTATATATTATGTCTGTCCACTGTTATTTGGCATCAGTGGATAGTTCAGAGCTGATAATAGTATGGAAAATCTATGATGGATTTGTGTTTGCATGAAATGTCCACAAGTCATGGGGTTAACAACACAGTTGGACCTTTAAAGCATTCTGGATTGGGAAGTACACTATTGTAGACTCAATAGCAATAACCCTACAATCATCAGGACGCCAAGCTCAATTTTACTCAACTATGAAAAAAAATTCAAGCAGATTTTTCAGAAGAACGTCCTTATGACTTTGGAGATTCATTATGAGATTTGGTAGCTGGCCTGTTGTTGTATTCGTGGTGATATGTAATGTCACATAGATTAGCATCATTCAGTGTCCAATAAGCAATAGTGTCCTATGAAACACCCTGTCCAAAAAGAACAACACGCTTGGCTCATCACACAAATGGGAAATGCCGACTATGGTGTGAAATGAACTGGTCCACAGCAGTTTTGATTCTGTCCAGTATGACACCTTTCGTCATCCTGCACTTCTCATCGTGGAGAAGTCGCAAGACTGCTTAGTTTCATTGCACAGACGCAAGTTACATTAGTGACCCCATTCTTGTTTGTTTTGTTCATTTTTAAAAACAGATGTATACTACTTTTTAATGTTCATAAATGATATAGATTATTTTTGGATGGTATTGCTACAAGAACATAAAAATATTTTAAGAATTGTATAAAACATTTTTTAAACTGATATTATATAGACAAAGTTTTATGATTTTTTTTATGAAAACAATGAAAAATAATAAAAAATTACAAAGGAAATGTTTGAATCATTGTGTAATTTTATATATGATTTATACATATTTTTAAATACACACTACTGGACATAAAAATATTTTAAGAATTGTATAAAACATTTTTTAAACTGATATTATATAGACAAAGTTTTATGATTTTTTTATGAAAACAATGAAAAATAATAAAAAATTACAAAGGAAATGTTTGAATCATTGTGTAATTTTATATATGATTTATACATATTTTTAAATACAAACTACTGT